ATGTCCTGGAGGCTCCTAAGCTTCTCCTCGTTTTTTTGAATTGTTATTTCTTCATGCTTTCCTGCTTGGTTGTTTCTTTCTTCCTTCTGGTCCACTCTATTGTTTTGAGACCCAGTTTCCTTCCCTTCACTATTGGCTCTCCTTCGAGTATCTTCCTTCATCTCTTTTATGGTAACCTGCATTTTTTCATCTAATTTGCACCCAAAATCAACCAATTCTGTGAGCTTTCTGATGTGTTTTGAACTGTGTTATGGCCAGTGTTTTGAACTGTGCATCTGATAGATTGGCTATTTCTTGGTCTCTCAAAAGGATGAGTCCTGGGGGACTGATCTGTTCTTCTGTTGGAAACACGTCTCTCCCTGTCTCTCCCTTTTTTTTTTTTTTTCGTCTGGTCGCTCTTGTTATGGTGAGGGGCGGAGCCTTAGGTGTTCACTGGGGCTCAGCACCCCAGTCGCTAGATTGTGACGTTATATGTGGGGGCGGGAGCGGAGACGGGAGGGAACAATGGCGGTAGTTCCATGCTCCTGGGACCTCAGTCCCTTCTCTGGGATCCTGGGTTGTGAGCTCTGCCCTGCTCCACAATCGCCACCTCATTGGGTCTGCCAGCCGCAGCTTGCGTACTCAGGGTCCACCTCTGCGACCTTGCGCACCCCGGATGGCTTACGAGCCGAGGTCACGCCAAGTTCTCCCTGACCTCTGTGCGCCGCTGACCTGCGCACGCCCGGCTCGTCCTCTCCGCCCCTCCTACCAGTCTGGAAGAACGGGTCTACGTCAACTTCTTGGCTGTCCGACTTCCATTCAGATAAATTCTCTGTCAGTTCTGGGTGTTATTCTGGCTCTAAATTGTTGTTGTTCTAATCTTGGTTGTGCGTGGAGGTGCGGTGCATCCACCTATGCCTCCATCTTGCCGGAAGTCTCCTAAATTTTGTAAATCTTTAAAGCAAGTACATATTTGAACATTAATATTCAACTGGTCTAATTATCTTAGTATTCTTCCTAAAGACCATTTATAATTGAAACACTAATTCGGGTTATCACTCAGCTGATAACCAGTTGATTCAGTAAATGAATCACTCAGTTTCATCTTTGGAATGTTTTCCAAACAGGACTTTGCTCAATGATGTAAGTTTTAGTTGTTATCATGCTGTAGCAGACGTGAGCTATGTATGGTTTAGAGGTGATCTCAGCTGTACCACAGAGCAGATTAGTAGCATTTACTGTGTTGTGTAGTGGAAGTATCCCTAAGTTGCTACCCAGGAATACTCTGCTGGATACTGAACATGGGTTTCCATTCCTTGGACCCATGAAGGGCAGCAGACAGAAACAAAAAAAACTATTTTGGTGAATGTTAATAAACTTCGCAGTTTTGGCTAAAAATATTTCTTCAGCTGATACAAAGCATTCTCTAGCATCTATCAATAAAAATGTAACTCCAGTAAGAGTATAATTGATCCATTTTCCACTAAATCTGACTACCAAACCTTGTGGCCTCAATTTTCTAGAGCAGTTGTAACTTCACAGCTCTTAGGACATGAGCTAATAATAAGAGTAGTTGTCCTGGCTTATGGTTTTAAATGATCACCCATGCAGCTGGGTGAACAATAGACTATAACCTTATATGTATTTCACTTCATGTGTGTGGGCTTATATGTAGGAATAATTCCTAGGACTAGGATTGCTGGGTCACAGGACAAATGTATTTCTAATTTTGATGGATATTGGGAAATTTCTACCTACCCTCCACAGCTACCAGCCATGTTTGAGAGACCTGTTTTTTTACACAAAGAGTGAAGCTTCTGGGAGGTGGACATTTTTTTCATTGGTCACAAGCCCCCAAATCAAATTGGTGGTGTTACATCCTTCTGGACACTCTTACTATTCACCCCTGCTTTCTGGTTTCCACCCTTATTCTGTGGCTTGTCACCCCATCCCTCACCTTGCCCTGCACTTTTTTTTGCCATGGTTTTTCCATCTATTCTTGTTTGTTTGTTTGTTTGTTTGTTTGTTTTCCATGTGAATGTTTTAATCAGCTTGGCTGGTTGGATGAGGGGGTTAGTTTTATTGGAGTAGCTATGAATTTGGATCTTACTATCTTTAAACATAATGTCTTTATATTCATTCCAGTTACTTTTGTTCCTTCATTAGTATTTTAACATTTTCTTCATATCAGTTCTGAACATTTCTAAGTCTGTTCCCAGATTTTTAATCTTTCTTTTCATAGATGTAATAGAAGAAAAGACCCTGTTATATTTTATATGCTGCTACCTACTGAATTATCTTCTTGTTTGTGGTAGTTTTTTAGTTGAATCTCTTGTTAATTCCCAATATACAGTTACATTGCCTTCAAATAGTGATAAACTTATTCTAATTTTTATACGTTTGTACTTTTTTGCCTCTTCTGTTGCATTGTTATAGGCAGTGGTGTTGTGTGCATCCCTGTCTTATTCCTGATTTGCTGGAAGGAAGAAAGGCTCATGTGTTTCCCTGAAGTATTTGCTGAATTTTGGTGTGCACATGCCCATGCATGCACACACGTCATGTTAACGAAATGCACAACCACTCCTATTTTCTTCAGCACTGTTTCCTTATCAAGAATAGGAGTTGAATTTTGTCAAATGCTTCTTTAGTATATATGGAGAGATAATATGATTTGGATCTTAGGTTTATTAATATAATATATTAACTTTGTACATCCTATTTATACCTAACATTTTGTAAAAGAGGTCTTAATTTTATTCACTGCTTCCCTTCTGTGTAACTTGTCTGATTATTACACAGTGCTCTGTTGCATGTCTGCAACTGTTGTCATCAGTGGAACTTTGTTGTTGTTTAAAAGTTTAATAAGATTAAGCTGAGAATTTGATCTGACTAATGGGCTGAAGATTCAGCATGGTGTAAGAGGTGAGGCTAAGTCTGAGCTGACATTTTAATGACTCCTTTTAAAATTTTTTTACTGTTTTTTATTTTCTCTTCAAATAATGGTGAAAGAAGGATTATAGTATATATATCAGAAAGTAAAGTGTTTTGCTAAGACACATCATAATTAAAATACCAAAGGTTAAAGATAAAGAAAGAATCTTAAAAGCAGCAAAAGAAAAGCAGAGAGTTACCTACAAAGGAGTTCCCATAAGACTATCAGCTGATTTCTCACAAGATACTTTGCAGGGTAGAAGGGACTGGCAAGAAGTATTCAAAGTCATGAAAAGCAAGGACTTACAACCTAGATTATTCTATCCAGTAAAGCTATCATGCAGAATGGAAGGGTAGATAAAGTACTTCCCAGAAAAAGTAAAGCTAAAGGAGTTCATCATCACCAAGACCTTTTTATATGAAATGTTAATGGGACTTATTTAAGAAAAAGAAGATAAAAAATATGAACATTAAAATGACAACAAACTCACAACTATCAATTACTGAATCTAAAAAAACAAAAAACAAAGTAAGCAAACAACTAGGACAGGAACAGAACCACAGAAATGGAGATCACGTGGAGTGTTATCAGTGGGGAGGGGAAAGAGGGAGAACAGGGGAAAAGATACAGGGACTAAGAAGCGTAAGTGGTAGGTACAAAATAGACAAGAGGATATTAAGAATAGTATAGGAAATGGAGAAGCCAAAGAACTTATATGTACGACCCATGGACATGAACTGAGGGGGAGATTGTTGGAGGGAAGGGGGGGTACTGGGTGGAGGGGGGGGCAAGGGGGGAAAATTTGGGACAACTATAATAGCATAATCAATAAAATACACTTAAAAAGAAGCCCTGGCTGGCGTAACTCAGTGGATTGAGCGCGGACTGGGAACCAAAGTGTCCCAGGTTCGATTCCCAGCCAGGGTACATGCCTGGGTTGCAGGCCATAACCCCCAGCAACCGCACATTGATGTTTCTCTCTCTGTCTATCTCCCTCCCTTCTCCTCTAAAAATAAACAAATAAAATCTTTTAAAAAAAAAGAAAAGAAAAGAAAGTGTTTTGGTTAATTACTCCTTCTCAATGGATTCTAGTTAAAGGTTTCAAAGAAACACCATAAAATGAACATTGTTTCATATATTTACGTCATCACTCTGGTCCTCGGAGAGTTCCCTTTATAGAGCAGAGCTGTCCAGTAGGCTAGCCATTGGCCCCTGTGCCTGTTGAGTGCTTGGAATGTGCTAGTGATGTGCTATAAGTATCAAATACACACTGATTTTGAAAAGTTACTATAAAAGAAAATATCTCATTCATAATTTTACATTCATTATTTATAGAAATAATATTTTGGTCATACTGGGATAGATAAAATATGGCACTAAGATTAATTTCACCTTATTCCACTTTTTAGAAGTTGCTCCTAGCAAGTTTAAATTGCATACATGACTTACATTATATTTTTATTGGACATCACTTGTCTAGAGTCAGTAAGTGTGTGTATACTTACACATACTACAATGATTTTCATAATTTTAAAAAGATGATATTAAATAAGCTACAGTTGTATCCTTACTTATCACCTTGTTTCTTCTTGTGGGAATAAAGTTTGGTGAGTAATCTAATCATACTCCATTATAATGGGTTGCCTCCTCTCTGATATTTATATTTAACTGTTTACAAAAGAATGCAGTTCCTTCATTATGCCTTTGACATTTTCACATAAGTTAACAGCAACAGGATTCTTCTATTTTAGAATATAGCACTTAAGAACTGTTATGAATAAGATAGGAAGTTAGACATCCACATTTCTAATTTTGCTTTATTCTATAAATATATTTTCATAGAAGTTTCCTAGCTGAAAATAAAATTTGCTTTAGCATTTAAAAAAATTTTTCCCTCTTAGCCTAAAAAAGGCAATTCTGACCCCCTTAGTTCTCTTTAGGTAGGTTCAGCATCTCTCAGTCCTGTCTTGTTGCAGTAACCTGAGTGTTTTGAATAGTTTACATTTTAACTCTTTACTCTCATTCTTCAAAAACCAAAACAAATGACTCACATTGCCTTTTTTTTCTTGATTTTTGTTGCATTGTTTAGGAAGACTACGTCACAAATGACATTGGAATATCGACCTGGAAGGAGCAGACGTTTCTCTCCCATGGTGCCTTATTAGCAAAGAGCTGCCAGGCGGCAATGGAGTTGGCGAAGCATGATGCTGAGGTTCAGGACATGGCATTTCAATATGGGAAGCACATGGCCATGAGTCATAAGGTATTTGCACACCCTTTCTCCTTTTCAGTTCTTAAGTAGCTAAAATGATGCATAAGAACCCTTTGGCCACTTAATAATCTTTTATGTTTAAAAAATGTTTATTGTGTATTTAAAATCTACAGACAATGGTTGTTGTATGAACAGTATGATTGGTGAATATTGTGTAACTTTGATAGAGGACTACAGTTTACTTTAACCATATTGTGATGTTTGTCTTTTCTTACCACCTGAAAGGGTTCTGGAAAGAACTCTTGCAATTATTAAATAACATGTGATGTTGCCATTTATAGAATGGAAGAATATTTTCATTTTTGTTACAGTTCCCTTATAGTTCCTCATGTAAAACAAATCATGGAAAGTTAATAAAATTTGGGAATATACTGAATAAAATTGAAAGCTTTAATTCTAATAACTGATTCTTTTGAACAGGCATGTTAAAATATAAAATATCCCAAGATTAACTGTTGTATTGTTGTCTCTATGTATATGTAATTATAAAATCCCATTGTATATGTACGTGTGTGTGTATGTGTTTATATATACATATATGTGTATATATACACATACCTTAGGTGTTACCTTAATGGCTCATAAAGGGAAAATATATACATATCTATGTAATATCTCCAGGTGATTTTTTTACGTATTAAGTCTTAGGTTAGTTTATTAAGCAACTACATTTGTTAAATCTTTTTGTAAATCCTTACCTTAAACTTAAAGTAAAATAAAGGCTTCTGCCAAATAAAAAGGAATATTTTAGGGGAAAATGATTTTAAAGACTATCGATAATTATAGAAACTATTAGTTGGCTTATTAAAGTACATCTGAAACCTGTATTCCTGAAGCTTCACTTTTCACTATATTATCTAGTGCTTTCTGTATATGACTAAAACATACCAGTATATGTGCATTTCCTGATTTAACTCTTTTGACTACATCTTCCAGATAAATTCTGATCTCCAGCCTTTTATTAAAGAAAAGACCAGTGACTCCACAACTTTTAACCTGAACTCAGCTCCTGTAGTCTTACATCAGGAGTTTCTTGGAAGAGATTTGTGGATTAAGCAGATTGGAGAGGTAAATGAAATTACTCCTATTTCCGGTACCAGTTGCATTAGTTGATTTTAGAATATAAGTTGTATTTTATGATGATCTAAGACATCAGCAATATAGATCAGCCATGTTCAAGGTTATTCATGTAAGAGGTAAAAGTTTTACTTTATAACCTATACTTTAAGATATAAAATTTTAGCTAAAAGTTAGAAACTGTGAACTTGCAGTCAACATGGAGGAGTAGGTAGACACACTTCACCTACTTACACAAACATAGAAAAAATTATAACCAGATCTCAAAAATAATGACACCCAGAACCTTCAGAAAATTGAGATGTCTGGAAGTCCAGCAACCAAGAACTTAAAGAAGACACATTTATCCATACGGGTAGGAAGGGTGGAGTTACGAAGATGAGTGGAGAGGCAGTATGGTGCCAGAACCATACCAGAAGGTGTGTATATTTGCCACCAGAAGGTGGCAGTGGCAGCGGCTGAACAGATGGGGTGGTTACCTTTGGAAGCACACGATCCCAGCTCCAGGCCAGACCATACAGCTCAGGGTTTTAGCACCAGGAAGACAGATCCCCAATACTTCTGGCTGTAAAAACCAGTGAGTGTTGGGCCAGTGGAAGAACTGCTGGATTTTTGCAACTTAAAGGGCCAGCATGATATTAGAACCTACACAAACCCACCCACTCTGGGATTCAACACCAGGGCAGCAGCTGATAGGGCACTGGTGGCACACAGGAAGGGGATGAAGTGACTAGAAATAGGATAAGCTTCAGGAGAACTGCCAGAAGCAAGGCAGCAACTTTGTCCCCTCTTGGAACCCTCCCCACACAGCTGCAAAGTGGTGAAGCGGATTGCCCCACCCTGGCAATTACCTAAGGCTCCTCCCCACTCAACTTACAGGTGCCTTTTCTACACAGTTCATGCTACTACAACAGGGAATAAAAGTGGCTCTACCTAATACACAGGAGGCTGCTAAATTGAGGAGACAAAGAAAAATGGCCCAAATGAAAGAACTAAGTGAAATGGAGATCACCAACCTGTCAGATGCACAGCTCAAAACACTGGTTATCAGGATGTTCAGAGAATTCCTTGAGTATAGCAAAATAACAAAGAGAGAAATGAAGGTCAGACTAAGTTAATAAAGAATAAACCACAGGAAACCAACAGAGAAAGGAAGGAAGCTGGGACACAAAGCAATGATTTGGAACATAAGGAAGAGATAAACATTCAACCAGAACAAAAATAAGAAACAAGAATTCAAAAAAATGAGGATAGGCTGAGGAACTTCTGGGACATCTCCAGACATGACAACATCCAAATCATGGGGTGCCAGAAGGAGAAGAGAAAGAGCAAGAAATTGAAAACTTATTTGAAAAAATAGTGAAAGAAAACTTTTCCTAATTTGGAGAAGGAAATAAACGTACAAGTCCAGGAAGCACAGAGTCCCAAACCGATTGGACCCAAAGAGGCCCACACCAAGACACATCATAATTAAAATTCCAAAGGTTAAAGATAAAGAGAGAATCTTAGTAGCAGCAAGAGAAAAACAGATAGTTACCTACAAAGGAGTTCTCATAAGACTGTCAGCTGATTTCTCAAAAGAAACTTTGCAGGCAAGAAGTATTCAAAGTCATGAAAAGCAAGAACTTACAACCTTGATTATTCCATCCAGAAAAGCTATCATTTAGAATGGAAGGGCAGATAAAGTGCTTCCCAGAGAAGGTAAAGCTAAAGGAGTTCATCACCACCTAGGCATTATTACAGGAAATGTTAAAGAGACTTAAGAAAAAGGAGATCAAAACTATGAACATTCAAAAAGGCAACAAATTCACAACTGTCAACAACTGTCTAAAAAACAAATAAGCAGCCCTGGCTGGCGTAGCTCAGTGGATTGAGCATGGCCTTTTGAACCAAAGGGTTGCTGGTTCAATTCCCAGCCAGGGCACATGCCTGGATTGCAGACCAGGTCCTCAGTAGAGGACGTGTGAGAGGCAGCCACACACTGATGTTCCTCTCCCTGTCTTTCTCCCTTACCCTCTCTCTAAAACTAAATAAATAAAATCTTAAACACACACACACACACACAAATGAGCAAACAACTAAAACAGGAACAGAATCATAAATACGGAGATCATTTGGAGGGTTATCAGCAGAGAGGAGAAGGGAGAGAATGGGGAAATGGTGTAGGGATTAAGAAGCATAATTGGCAGAAACAAAATAGACAAGGAGAAGTTAAGAATAGCATAGAAAATGGAGAAGCCAGACCCATGGACATGAAATAAAGGGTGGGGATTGCTAGAGGGAAAGGGGTACCAGGCAGAGGGGGACAAAAGGGGAAAAATCGGGACAACTGTTATAGCATAATCAATTAAATATACTTTAAAAAAGGTTAGAAACTGCAATGCTGTGTTTTGTTATTATATGAGTTCTTCTAATACTGCAACACAAATATAATGCCTATGGTGCATACTAATTAACTCGTGATTTTTTTTTCCTAAAGGTTTTCAAAAATTGGGCTATGATAATAGTACCACCCTTTAACTGCAATTTCCCATCTGTAGACTCTAGCTCAAGCTGCAGAATTCCAGGAGGTCCATGTATCAGCTCATTGGGTTATATTGTAACGACTAAAACAGGAACGAATCAGAGAAATGGAGATCACATGGAGGGTTATCAGCAGGGAAAGAGAGAGGGAGAATGGGGGGAAAGGTGTAGGGTATAAGAAGCATAATTGGTAGGAATAAAATAGGCAGGGGGAGATTAGGAATAGTATAGGAAATAGAGAAGCTGAAGAAATTATACGTAAAACCTATGGACATGAACTAATAGTGAGAGGGATTGCTGGAGGGTGGGGAGTGCAGGGCGGAGGGGGGATAAAAGGGAGAAAAAAATTGACAACTGCAATAGCATAATCAAAAAATATACTTAAACAGTAAACTTGAATTCTGAATACTCCAGGTCTGCAGCATCCAGGTCTGCAGCATTATGGTAGGAGGAAAACAACGTGGTTAAATGGGAGGGGTACAAGGGCTTCAGTTGACTGAATTTCCTACTTTGGAGGCAGGAAGCAGTTGTTGACAAAAGGAAACTTTTTAGAGTTTTGTATCCAGAAACTCTGGTACAAAAGTTCTTGCCCTTTTACCCAAAACTTCATGGAATTTATTTAGCTTCATGATTCTGCTCATTGAATTGAACTGGACTGACAGGGGGATTCAGGCACAGCTGAGGGTGGGGCAGCCACTGTGTTTACAGCAGGGAGATCCTAGGTGATAATCTGCACTCCAAAAGGTAAGAGTTTTGCTTTTCTACCCCTCCTCCCTTATTAGATCTCAAAATGTTATCAGCCACCTTAAAACCCCTCATATTCACCAGGTAGAAAACAATAGGATCCCTTTCTGGGAGGAATCAAACCCAGGCAAAAAGACCAGAAGGTGGATGAGGGAGGCTCCCTCAGTAAACAGGCCTTGTTCCGGACCAGCCCTCCAGCAGGGAGGCAGGCCCACCAGTTGGCAAGCCTCAGAGGATCCAAGCGCTGAGTGACAGGGACTAGAGGACCAATGGGCATTTGGGTGAAGCCTCTCTCATAAAAGAATGGGTCAAAAGCAAACTGATTAAAACAGGGAACCTAGAAGAAACAGAGATAGTGCAATGAAAAAAAAAAAAAGACATTTTTTAAAAGTACTATAATAAATCTACTCAGGGAGATAAGATGTTAAATCCATAAAATAAGAGCAAGTGATGTATTTATAAAAGAACAATCCAGGAATTACAAATCAGAATTATAAAATATACAAATATGAAAGCAGAAATTTTTTAAATGGAAGGTATAAATGATAAAATGTCCCAGGAATTTGTATGAAAGATAATAGAAAAGATAAGAAAATTAGAAGACCAGTTCAAAAGATCCTATATCTATTATGAATCTCAGAAAGAGAACACTAAAATACAGGTGAGAAAATTAACAATGAATTTTTTAAAAGAAAAGAAAAAGTATAAGAATTGAAGAACCTGAGTGTCCAAGTTGAAATGGTACCCTAAATAATGAACTTTAAAAGACCCACACAAAACCCTGGCCAGTGTGGCTCAGTTGGTTGGGTGTTGTCCTACAAACTGAAAGGTTGCTGGTTCAATTCCAGGTCAGGGCACATGCCTGGGTTGCAGGCTTGGTTCCCTGTCAAGGCACATACAGAACATGGCTGATTGATATTTCTTTCTCACATCAATGTTTCCTCTCATTCTCCTTCCCCTCCCTTCTCTCCTAAATCAAAAATAAAATTTAAAACGACCCACACCAAATCACATCATCATCCAATTTTGAAACCATGGGGATAAAGAAGAGATCCTAATACTTAAAGAAAGAAAAAGAAAACCCTGCCTGCAAAGGATTGGGAATCGGAATAACCTTAGTAGTGACAATGAAAGTTTTAAGACAATGGAATTTACTTCAATATTTCAAGAGAAAATTGTTTCCAACTTAGAATTTTATGCCAGTCATGTTATCGAGTGCAATGTTAAATAAAGACCATTTAAAACAGAAAAATAAGGTCTCAAAAAAACTTACCTTCCAAGCATCTTTTTTTCAAAGAGCAAGTGAAGTATTCTATCAAGGCAAGAGAGGAACCAAGAAAAAGAAAGACAGGGAACTTAGGAAATAGGAGATCAGACAGAGGTGTAAGGCAATGGGAATTCCTAGGACAATGTGAAGGGAAGAATAATAAACTACAACAGTATTGCCAGCAATAAGAGACTTACCATGAGCCAAGAACTGTTCTAATGAGAAACCCGGGGTACAGAGACATTAACTGACTTGTGCGCAGCAAGCCCATGGTAGAGCCAGGATTCAAACCCAGGCAGCCTAGCTCCAGGGCCCACGTCCTTCGGTAACGTGCTACACTGCTTCTCATCCGAGCAAGGCTTAGGCTGATGGCTATGCACCCAGTCTAAGTTGGGACAAGAGGACAGAGATCTCCAGGAGAACTATCTCCATGGGAAAAAAATGGTACTGGTGACCA